TAGAAATTTAAATTACAAAAAAACAAAAGCAACACAATACGCACATATTATTTTGTACATCAACTTACACTATAAAACTATAATACTCATCGGGCTAAATCACCTTATAAACAAATACACTACATAGTCTTACACTAATAATAATAGAAAATAGTTTAGCATATAGAGAATACGCCCATAAGTTTGATATATCTTTTCTAGCGGACCTCTTTCTTAGTTGTTACCCGTTTCTTATTTAGAACCAGAATGCAGAGCCGTAACATCTATATTAGTTAATTCTATACGAATTTACTAACATAATAATGAACTTGTGAACTTTAAATACATGATTTACGGCTCATTTAAATAACGAATTTTAATGCCCAATAAATCGAGTGATAAACATTAATATAAATATGGATACTATAAAAATTTAATAACTGAATATTGTTTGTTCGTTTTCTTGAATATCATAATGATAATTGTGACAGTGGAAACTTTGAGAAGCACATGACTACACCCTTGAAAGAGGCCCAGAGGAAAACATCCCATAACATCAGACATGGTGGTAGTAGTAGATATGGTGGTAGGACGTATTGTGAGTCCGCACGGGTAGGTACCACCACTCTGCCTATTTCAGCAGTAAAACAGTAATGCGTTTCGGTTTGAAGGCTGAGCAGCGGTTGTAACTATACTGAGAATTTAGAACTCATACCCCAAAGGTGGGTGGGAGCATTTACGTTATAGACGTCTATGGGCTTCAGTAATCGCTTAGCACTGGTGGAAAGCTCCATCTGGATGCATTTCTTACATTCATTTAACTCATCAATAGTAGCAGTACCATCTTCTCCTTCCCGCATAGTTATCAATAATAGATAGCAGTACCCAATTATCTTCTCCTTCCCGCATAGTTCTTGTTCGAATTCCCTCCTAATATTTCTATTAATTTCCATAAATATCGACTTCGTAGTCCGTCAGACTGGAGTACGTGATTGATTCAAGAATGGCGCTGGTAGACCAGTGATCAAGACCCTTCCGCGAACATAAAACGCCTTATAATCCGTCTTGCTCCTAATACGATAAGTATTATTTTGTATAAACGTTATTTTCCATAGGTGTATATTTATAATGGTTATTATATTTGTATCTATATAATATATAAAAATTTATTGCTGTTCATTAGTTTTGCTAAAACTCGAGAACGGCTGGACCGATTTGGCTAATTTTGGTCTTGAATTATTTGTGCAAGTCCAGAGAAGGTTTAAAAGGTAGATAAATATGAAAATGCCCAGAATTAAATAACAATTAAATGTTGTTTTTCCTTTGATATGTCACCCGTCGGACGGATTCCTTTTGTTTGTTTTAAGTTTATTTTGTACAAAAGTTTAGGTCTTTTGTTTATCGATTTAGGCACTACGAAGTCTGCCGGGTCAGCTAGTTTATTTATACATATTAATGATCTGGTAATTACGTAAGTATTTTTTATGTCCTTGGATTACGCCAATTTTCTAATTCATCTATTGACAAGAACAGATTACTTCCAGAGATAAGTCTAACAATTATATTTTAATTTTAACTTTATCTTATCTCATTCAATTGTATATAGGTGATATTTTGGTGTACCAAAGTGCAATAATGTATTGTGCGATCTGTATTAAATAGAACGAACAAAGACGCGAGCTAGCTTTAGTCTCGCCACTGAAATTTAACTTATTTGTATTTATTATGAACTAATTTATTATTATATAAAAGAAACGCGTTAAATAAACTTTGAAAATGTCATTTATCTATGTTTTATTCGATTAAATTTTATAAAATTCAACGCATTTATTATAGATTCGGTTTTATTTGAATTACTAATCTACATATTTATTTGTAGATTGCAACTTAGTGCAGTGTTAAAGTATACAAGAGATCCGGTATCTATATATATATAAATGTATTGCTGTTCGTTAATCTCGCTAAAACTCGAGAACGGCTGGACCGATTTGGCTAATTTTGGTCTTGAATTATTTGTGGAAGTCCAGAGAAGGTTTAAAAGGTAGATAGATATGAAAATACTCGGAATTGATTAATAATAACAATTTTGTTTTTCCTTTTTTGTGTCCCCCGTCGGACGGATTCCTTTTGTTTGTTTTAAGTTTATTTTATACAAAAGTTTAGGTCTTTTATTTAATGATTGAGGCACTACGATGTCTGCCGGGTCAGCTAGTTTTAAATAAAAATAATTGTGTTAATAAATTCGTTTTGTGTTTCCATAGAAGCGTCGCGGCGTCGCACATATTTGCATAGACTAGTGGTCCCGCAGTAGTCGAAATTCGACTATAATTAATTAGAATTGTAAGTTTGTACACTATTATTATTGCATTTTATACTTCTATAATCAAAAATTTCGCCAAGACTACACTATAAAAAATATTAACAAAGACAAACAATATTTAATCTATTCTCAATTTGACAACAGACGTGAAGAACAAAAGTTTGACAACAAATAGTATGCATGCGTGTGTGCGTCAAATACATGGTATGTAGTGTGTGTAATGTTTTCTTTATTGATTTAATGTATCTTTTATGCATTATTTAAAAAAAATATTAACATTGTGCACTTCTTCTCTATATTCTCTATAAGTGTGGAAAATATCATACTCCTCCGTCCGCGCAATTTTCGTAAAAAGGGATACAAAGTTTTTGCTTCACGTATTAATATATAGATAACAAATCTTGTGCTCCAATATAATTTGACCGGGAACAAGTGTGTCTTCAAACTCCCATATGCGAAATGAATTCTCTAAGCATTCCTCATGTTATTGCCCTTTTGAATATGATAAGGACGTACCCGGGATATTGTATTATTATGGAAATAGAGCATGCTGCAAACAGCATAGTGATTTTGAAAGTAGTTCTTTTTTTGTAAGACTTTTTTTTGCTTAGATGTGTCGACGAGCTTACAGTCCACCCGGTGTTAAGTGGTTATTGGAGCCCATAGACGTCTACAATATAAATGCGCCACCTTGGGATATCAGTTTTCTAGGGCTCAAACCGGAGTGTTGCTAACACTAACCCTAGCAAGAGCAGTGCTTCGCAGAATCTACCAACGGATCGGAAACGCGACCCATTGAGAAGATCCGGCGAGAAACTCAGCGGGCTGTGTCTATGGGTTAATTCGCTCGTGGAGCCCTTCGTCGCAAGCGATGGTAAAGTTCGACGAGGATGGTGACCGGTGCTTGTGGTGCCTAAAAGCACCGTTAATGGATCAGGAGGTTCCGAATGACGTGCTTTGGGCGACGTCGACGGTTTACCATTCGGTCTACAGGATCGGGTGTGTAGTTTTCAGCGGCCACGACCATAGGGTTATCAGTTTTAAGGTCTCAGTATAGCTACAACGGCTGCCCCACCTTTCAAACCGAAACGCAATACTGCTTCACGGCAGAAATAGGTGGGGCGGTGGTACCTACCCGTGCGGACTCACAAGAGGTCCTACCACCAGTAAGTTGTTAAGTTAAAGGTACTCATGGATACTTCATTCAAGTTGAGGGGCTAAGTTGAAGGCTCAGTTAAAGTTTGAAGTCGTCGTGGCCTAAAAGATAAGACGTTCGGTGCATTCGTGTTGAAGCGATGCACCGGTGTTCGAATCCCGCAGGCGGGTACCAATTTTTCTAATGAAATACGTACTCAACAAATGTTCACGATTGACTTCCACGGTGAAGGAATAACATCGTGTAATAAAAGTGAAACCTGCAAGATTATAATTTGCGTAATTACTGGTGGTAGGAGCTGTTGTGAGTCCGCGCGGGTAGGTACCACCGTCCTTGCCTATTTCTGCCGTGAAGCCGTACTGCGTTTCGGTTTGAAGGGTGGGGCAGCCGTTGTAACTATACTGAGACCTTACAACATATATCTCAAGGTGGGTGGCGCATTTACGTTGTATATGTCTATGTGGGCTGTGAGCTCGTCCACCCAACTAAGCAATAAAAAAAAAATCTTCAGAGAGGACAACATGATTGCTTCTTTGCAGAAATACATAAGAACACATAACGAATTCCATGAAGAAAATTAAAACAAACGTGTGATATAGCCTATCCATAAATACAGCCTACTGAGTTTCTCGCCGGATCTTCTCTCTCAGTGGATCGCGATTCCGATCTGGTGGTAGATTCTGCGAAGCACTGCTCTTGCTAGGGCTAGTGTTAGCAAATTCTTTTAGGTTGAGCCCGTGAACTCACCTACCCGTCTACGCGTAGATGTAATAACCCATTAAGCTACCAGCCAATAGGTAGGGAAACAAAACTATCTATCACATTTTGACCGAAAGTAAATGACCCGAATAAGAGGATCAAATATATTATTTATATTTCAAATCAATAACCTAATTAATTACTTCAATAAATGAATATGTAGAATCATGAAAAAAATGAATTACATATTTTAAAATTACGAATTATTTCCGATTTCCATTTTGAAAACATCAGAAGTTTTGAATAACATAAATGAAGTTACTGATGTTTTTGCAAGACGTAGGTAAACATGTTTTTTGTGACACCAAAGACTATATACAAAACTATTTATAATAAAAAAAACAAATTGACAAAATATAGATGGCGGTAGGCAGCGGCTTGGCTCTGCCCTTGGTAAGCGGTAGGCAGCGGCTTGGCTCTGCCCTTGGCATTGCTGAAGTCCATGGGCGACGGTAACCACTCACCATCAGGTGGGCCGTATGCTCGTCTGCCTACAAAGGCAATAAAATATATATATATATTCAATAATTACTAGTGGTAGAACGTATTGTGAGTCCGCACGGGTAGGTACCACCAGCCTGCCTATTTTGTCCGTGAAGCAATAATGTTTTTCGGTTTGAAGTGTGGAGCTGCCGTTGTAATTTAGAACTAAAACTTTAAGCTCAGGTCTTCATGTGAGTGACCTTTTCGTTGTTGATGTCTATGGACTATAGTAACCACTTAACACCAGGTGAAACGTAAGCTCGTCCACTCATCTAAATCATAAAAATAAAAAGTAATTAATACCGCTTCGTCAAAACTTAGCACATTTTAAAGGTTTTCTTTGAAACTATGTATTTCATTCAAGCAATACCAAATTATTTGTTAATATTATTAATTTTAATTAAAATTTTATTTGTTTTAATTAACCACATTTAAACACTGTCCGATTTCATTTGTCATTCTCGGCACTATGATTAACACTTATTACGATTTTCCGTAACATCATATTGACTCTTGAACCATAATCAAAAGCGTTATTTTACCGTAATGTATTTTTTAGACACGAATTCGCGAATCAAACTCAAAATCACGGACGACGATAGTAAATTCTCGCGATATATTTGTGCATCTCCAGCGTACGTACGAGTGCTCTCCGCGATGGCGGTCAGCCGACTGGCGTTCACGAAATTTTACAGAATCCAGAACGTAAGTCCTATTATAGACACGAAATAGTACTCTGTGACTAGTTTGTCCCTTGGTTGGCTATATCGATTCGAAGATAAGTTCAATAAGAGAACAGTGTGCTTAGTGCGAGTTTTTTAACGTTTTCGATAACGTAAAAGTTAAATCAAATTTGTATGTGGTTGGAACATTCGCCTACGTTTGCCACTAGGGGCGATTTTCCAACTGAATACAAAATTGGACTAACCTTTACGTTATCGAGAACATTAAAAAACTCACACTAAGCACACAGATTATCTATATATTAATACGTGAAGCAAAAACTTTGTACCCCTTTTTACGAAAATTGCACGGACGGAGGAGTATGAAAATTCCCACACTTATAGAGAATACAGAGAAAGAGTGCAGAATGTTATTTTTTTTTAAATTAAGCATAAAAAATACATTAAATCAATTTAAAAAAACATTACACACACTATCGTATATTTGACACACACGCATGCATACTATTTGCTTACTGTTAAACTTTTGTTATTGCTTAAAGTCTGTGGTCAAATTGAGAATAGGTTAATATTGTTTTTCTTTAATATTATTTGTCTATAGTGTGTGTAGTCTTGGCGATATCTGTGACTATAGAAGTACAATAAATAGTCTTTGACAATAGAACTTTACTTATGTTCAAATTTATAATTTCAATTAATTATAGTCGAATTTCGACTACTGCGGGGCCACTAGTATATTATAATTCTTTTAAAAATAATATTATTTAATTATTATTTTTTAGAGATTAGTTTCTGATAGGCGACAAGTAATTTAAATTGGCGCGTTATAGTTATTATAACATACAGACACAGCTGAACACACGTCAATATGCTTTAAAATCGTACAATGGTTTGCGTATTTTATTTTTTTATTTACAGGGATATTATTTATATACACGAATGCATGAAACAAATATAATAATAAATATAATAGGTGAACACCTTGAACCCAGCAACTATCAGCTCACTGAGCTATTTTCGGAACTTCTCAGTGGGTCGCGATTCCGATGCGGCGGTAGATTCTGCGAAGCACCACTCTTGCTAGGGCTAGTGTTAGCAAATTCTCTCAAGTTGAGCCCGTGAGCTTGCTTACCCATCCGGGCGTAGTTGGAATAGCCCTTTTCGCTACAAGGGAAAAGGTAGGGAATAATAAATAAATGAACTGCTACTAGCTACGCCGTTGTTTCATAGCTTTTTTGCAGCAAATTTTAAAGCGCCGGTAAGAAAGTTTAACGCGTCTATTACTTTGAAATAAGACCGCCAATTGTACTTTTTTTGTGTATCATATTTTGTCTAGTTTTTTTTTATGTACAATAAAAAATACTCTCTCTCTCTCTCTCTCTTTCTCTAAACACATATACACACAAAACGAGAAAAATACGTACAAATATAATCCGGAATGAATAATATTAAATTAAAATAATGCTGTCTCCGATCGGGGTCCGATTTGGGACCGTTACAGCCGTTTGACCTGGCGAGACGTAGGAAACGGTCAAGTTAATTACGATATCTCAATACGATATTTTGTAAGTCAATCAATTCATTTTAATTAATCTAAAATGGAAGTTCGATTTGATGGGTTTACAGCGTCAATAGCCAGGGGGAAACGAGGTGTTAGGCGAGTTATAGCACGCCTGATGGCATAGTAGCGTGACGCTTGTAAGCGTGGTGTATTCGGTTCGATACTGGACAGTAATTTTATTTTATTGTTATTAAAATAAGATGATGTTTTGATAGATATAAAAAAAATTGGGGTAGACGCTGTAACGCTAGAGTATAAAATGGTGGTAATAGATTTGGGAGCCCTTTTTTTTTTTTTTTATTGCCCTTGTAGGCAGACGAGCATACGGCCCACCTGATGGTGAGTGGTTACCGTCGCCCATGGACTTCAGCAATGCCAGGGCTAGAGCCAAGCCACTGCCAACCGCTAAGTACTCTCCACAAGCCTCGTTTGAAGAAGGACATGTCATAGCGTTCGGGAAACGCCGTGGAGGGGAGGTAATTCCAAAGCCGGATGGTACGTAGCAAAAAAGATCTCTGGAAACGCACTGTCAATGAACGCAGTATTTAATATTAGTATACTATATATAATATTAGTATAGTAAATATTAAGTGATGACTAAGTTACAAACATTAGAATAGGTCACCATTAAGTTAATGCCACGAGAACTAAGTCTCACTTGTATGGCATAGCTCACTTACTCACTTGTAACTATACTGAGACATTACAACTCCTATCTCAAGGTGGGTGGTGGCATTTGCGTGGTAGATGTCTATGGGCTCCGGTAACCACTTAACACTAGGTGGGCTGTGAGTTCGTCCACACATCTAAAAAATAAAAAAAAAATAAAAAAATATGAACTATCCCACGCTTCAAGCTGGAAAGGATAAATGCTTGCAAATACAAACAGGCTGGCGGTACCAATCCGTGCTGGCTCACAATTTGAAGTAATATTTCAAAAAACTAATTAAAAACGAAATTAAAATTACCAAAGAAATAAAATTTCGCAAATCGATTCCGAGATTTCAAACGCACACAAAGCCCGTAGTCATAAATAAACTTTAAGTTAAGCTCATTCATAACTTAATAGCTTAGCGTCTTAGTAGCGTATAACGGATTAAACCAGTCTCCATAGAAAAGATATCAACGCGCGCGGGTCCGTGCTCCTTCTAAGCACTAAGCTAGAAACTAAACGTTGTTTTGAATTTATTATAATAGAGTCAATAAATAATTTATTTAGTTAAAAAAGAATAAGAACTCGTTCATATATCAAAACAAACTTAGAATTAATTTCGTCTTTATTAATCCTGATTATATCGGTCCGGATATTAGAGCGAAGTTATAAAAAAATTGTAATGTCATTGGGCTTTGATGCACGTGCGACTTTACATGCTAATCGGTTGTTGAATGATTTCCTTGCATACATACATACATTTGTAGCTTAGGTCTGCCCTTGGCATTGCTGAAGTCCAGTGGCGATGGTGTATCTCGCGAATTAGCCCACAGACACAGCCCACTGAGTTTCTAGTCGGATCTTCTCAGTGGGTCGCGATTCCGATCCGGTGGTAGATTCTGCGAAGCACTGCTCTTGTTAGGGCTAGTGTTTAGTGTAGGCAAATTCTCTCAGGTTGAGCCCGTGAGCTCACCTATGCCTCAAGGAGAAGCTGATATAACCCCTCAAGGGCAGGGCAATCAGTATAGATAAGAAAAAAAAAATGCAAACTTAACTTTGAAACACGAAGTGTCCGGATAACAATCTCAGATCTAAATTTTCGTTTTTATCTTCAGTTATAATGGTATTACAGATTTATTTGCTCTTAACAGTTTCTAGATTAACCAATCTCCCACAAACGTCACTGTATGCCTTCTTAGAGTACGGTTACCGCCGCAAGATATGCTTTCATACTAACTCGAAGTACAGCCAGCAATGCAATGCATTTTTTTTTTCTTCAGTTTTTTATTTATTTCCCTTCTAAGCAGACGAGCTTACGGCCCACCTGATGGTGAGTGGTTACCGTCGCCCATAGACTCCAAAAATGCCAGGAACGGAGCCAAGCCGCTGCCTACAGTACTCTAATGGACGTAGCTTTTCCTTGGTTTCGGAAGCTCATAGTCACTACGACGTGGATCTCATCAGCCATTTTAAGACATGACATCTAACGTTTAGTTGTTCTGTAACTATTATATCCTCCAGAAGTCAGAAGTTTTCGAGTTTTATTCATATTCTCTGGTTAAAATACCAGTTGTTCCAAGTCTATACAATTTTGAGTTAGCTTTTACGTGATCAAGAAGTTAAAAAACTCGCACTAAGCACACTGTTAAACTTTTGACTGATTCAATAGTGTAGTAATAAGCGGACCCGATTGTCGCGACGACGGTCGTGGGTTCGATTCTCACATAGGGCAAACATTAGTGAGATGAACAAGTTTCTTTCTTCTTTGTCTGGGTATATTTGAACGTATATAAGTATGTTTATCAGTCTCTGGTACCCATATCACAGGGAATCTTAAATTGGGGCCCGATGATCGTGCGTGATATATTCAAAGTTATAAATAGTAATAAAAAAACTACCATTCCCAATAAGGTTTTTAGCGAAAATGTAATGAACTTCAACAGAGCGAAGCGGTACTTCACGCCTGGACAAAGACTTTTGCTTTATAAAGCACAAGTCCAGCCTCGCGTGGAGTACTGCTCCCATCTCTGGGTCGGGGCTCCCAAATACCAGCTTGTTCCATTTGACTCTATACAGAAGAGGGCCGTTCGGATTGTCGATAATCCCATTCTCACGGATCGTTTGGAACCTCTGGGTCTGTAGAGGGACTTCGGTTCCCTCTGTATTTCGTACCGTATGTTCTATGGGGAGTGGTCTGAGGAATTGTTTGAGATGATCCCCTCATCTCCTTTTATCATCGCACCTCCCGCCATTGGAGCAGCGTTCATCCATATCTGGAACCGCTGCGTTCATCGACAGTGCGTTTCCACAGATCTTTTTTGCCACGTACCATGCGGCTATGGAATGAGCTCCCCTCCACGGTGTTTCCCGAGCGCTCTCCTTCTAAAAACGAGGCCTGCGGAGAGTGGTAGGCAGCGACTTGGCTTTGCCCCTGGCATTGCTGATGTCCATGGACGACAGTAAGCACTCACCATCAGGTGGGCCGTATGCTCATCTGCCTACAAGGGAATAAAAAGATAGAACTGATTTGATAAAATTATTAACGAAACAGAATATTTCAGTTCTGCAAACGGTACTCGGTCAAACAATACACTGGAAATTCGAAACTGGGCGCCATTTATTGCGTCACGGTAGCGGAGCTGCGACAAATTGATATTGATATCGTAATTAGTCGTAGTTTGTCTCTTTCTGTTTCGGCTGACTCGTTAGTATACTTAGCGGCGGTATTCTAGTGAATCCGTTCACGCAAACGCCTGAGCGTT